TTCGTCGTCCCTGTGGGCTCGCGGTGTACGTATAACTGAGGCGACTTATTTCTTCCCCAACTTGGTCATCCGTAATGGCTCGGTCAACCCTTCTGATCAAAATGTCTGCTTCTGCTTTGAACACTAGAACATTAGTAATCGCGATACATCGTGGTTTATGCAGTTTCCTCGCCAGGAACAGCCATAGTGCTTTTATAAACATATTGAGCTGAAAAGCACTTTTCATAGATTATTGAGCGTAGAAATTAGTTTCCGATCCAATGCTGGTATATCAATTGTGTTGAGTAAGCTACCGATTTGATGGAGAGCTGGGAGCATCAAAAAGCTGGTAAAAATTTACGGAAAATTGAAATGCCGTTAAATCTTAGAGATTTTGCACTTTCATAACATTGTTCAGAACACGAAAGCATAATCCAGTTCCGTAATCTACATCGCTTCAATGCTCCTTTTACATCTCTGAACGGATTGTGAATTACCGAGTGAGGCGAGACAAGTAATTCAATACACGGTGTCTTAGTTCCAGTTCTGCTTGGTTACAGATAGGGAATGTTGTTGATGAAGATGTTCGAGGGAATGTCTGATTTTCTATCGGTTACAGATATGTCGCTTTTTCATAGTAAACGATATTTTCTCAATGAATAAGATATGCGAAGGGTTGGAAACTCGAATCACTTACGAAAGATGCTTCATGTGATAAGTGAACAAAGATAAGTAACTAGAAAACATTTTGCTGATTTGTGGACATATCTGTGCTGTTGGATTGACCCACATTTTTTCGCATCATCGTTTTATTTAGTTTTTTTTTTCTATTTGAAACCGAGTCATTCACAAAAGGCGGTAGTATACCGGAGAATATGCCGAAGAGTGGAGTATACTTAGAATGGAATATGTCTAGTCGCTATCTAGATGGAATGAACTACCGCAAAGTAATGTAACGATGCGCTCCTCACGCATTGACATCACGACCACTACCGTAATGCACGTGTGACCATTTGTGAAAGTCTTCTGCTGCAATCGCACATGCGGGTATTCTCAAGTCGATCATCGCTGGAAATGAGGCGAGGGTCTATTACGAAACAACACGCGCTGCACCTACTGGCTACCTCACGGCAAAGACCCGCCTGGTCAATTAGAACCCAAGTTCCACGCGCGAAAGATCATGTTTACGGTTTTCTGGGCCTTTAACGGAGTATGCTGTGTTGGGAATCATTTGACAAGAAGTAGACAACCGATGCCAACGTTCGCGACGGCGGAAATCAGCCCCTGTAGCGAGAGAGGAGTGTCCAAACCGATGTAGTGCCACTCTTATCCATAATAGCTCTCGACGCGTCACATTTCGGCGAAACTGGGCTGGGTCACAATACCACATCCACTGTATAATCTAGTATTGCTGCATTATATTATCACTGCTTCCGCGCTTCAGAGCAACGTTTGAGGGCTAACGCGACTTGAAGACTACAATTAGCTTGAGAAAGACCTCATCACCTTCCTTGATCTCCTCTCATTCATGTGGGAGGATGGTATTTAATCTTTGTCCAGCAAGACTTTGCATATCATTGGTAATGGGAGCGATCACACTATCTATTATTTAATTTTTTAGATAAATCCAAATGAATTAAGAAGAGTGTCGAAAATGAAAAAATTTGCAGAGCAACTCAAAAATAAGGAACCATGCTTGTGAAATGCGGAAGGATAGCAAATGTTCACCCCGCTTGTGACTGCTACTAGCACTCGATATTGATAGTATTTTTTCAATGCATTTCGCACTGTTATGATGTTTTTTTATATATCTAAGAGAATTGAGTGGTGAGCAAAAACGCGGCCTCAGGCGGGAATCGAACCCACGTTTCATCCTATCCGGGGACGCGTGCTCTACCACTACACCAGTGAGGCACATTTGCCCGACCACTCATTCTTCAACTTCTCAATGTTAGCTATGTTGCCTGTTTTTGCTCACCACTCAATTCTCTTAGATATACTGCTACTAGCTGTGAGAAATTGGAAGCGGAGCGCAATTCGCTTTCTGAAGTAGGTTTTGTGAAAGTGAGAAGGGTCTGACACTTCCATCTTTATGATTTGCTAAGAGTGAATCTACTAATCCACAGAGTCAGGTGAGATGCCTGTGGCATTATTCTCCCAAAAGAGAAGCCATGCTGGAGATGTAAGTCAAGTCCCTCCAAAGAGCAAAGCCACCTATATTGTTGTGGCAGGGCTCCACGTGCTTATTGAGAATCAAAACCATGGAAAATGATCTCGTCAACGAATTGTTGATTTTGGAGGTTTGAATAAAGAATGGCACTATGCCGTTGTGTGTATGCTTCGTTGATTTGGAGAGGAGCTCAGAGAGCTTGCAAAAGCATCGAGGACTTAGTGATGCAAAGAAAGAACAAGCAACTCTGAGCTCTCCCTTCCCGCGAATCGATTCTTTCATTCCTAATATAGGCGTCAAGAACCTGATCGCCAATTGTCAAGTAATAGTAGTTTTCTTATCTACCAACATCCTAATTTATTGCAGTCGATACTTGAGGAGCTAATTCTTGGCGGAACAACAATTATTTACTGACCTATTTTCACTCAACTTCGCCATCAAAAATATTAGCTGTCTTTAGATTTACACCTTACACCTGAATGATTAAGTACTTGAGTACAACTTTATCATCAATTCGTTAGGTCACTGTCAGCAATCTTTAAAATTGCTATGATTAAAGATGTCGCACAATACAGGCATGATCGCCGGCTGCCTTGGAGTCTGGTGAATTAAACTCTGCTTCCTTATGTAGTCTGCAGATGGTCACAGGTCTGTTTTGCATGACCTAGCTCCAATTCATGAATGTCGTCTTTTGATGAAGACTCTTAATTCAGCGAAACCATCCTAAACCTCCTAAAGGATTCTGCGCAATCAAGGTTCAACGTCATCTGTGAAAAGGCGGGATACCGAAGTCGAGTCGAATCCATTTGCAAAATCCAAGGGCTTTCATGGATTTTCTTTTGTGGAAATCGGTAGCGATTTTAGCGAAAGAATGCAGGAGATACTAGGATGCATAATATCTGAAGACAATAGCTTGTCCAATGCAGCAAGGTATTCATTGATGAAAGGTGCCTGATAACAGTGTGAATGAAATGTGGGCAGAAATCCACGCTGTGTATGGTGTGAGTATTTGAGAAATTTCTTCTTAAGCAAATATGTCTTAGACCTAAGGCAACTCTCTCAACCGCTGTTCTACGACGTTCAGTAAGTAGACGGGTAAACACAGTGAATGCTAGAAGTACTGAGATGCGCACAGTATTTTTTCACTCAGAAGAACAATGTGAAGACGGATCGATAGAGTGTCAAAGTTAAAGTATCAAGTGCTTGTCTAATAAACGTAATTATTCCTTTAATTGATAGCCGAAACACGTATCACTGTATAAGTGCCATAAAAGATCTCATAAAAGGCTCAACAACATGCATCACATTATATTCTCTCAAGTGAGGTCTCAAAAAAATCGAAACGAAAGGTATGGTTCATTTGTTTATACAGTATTTTATTCTTCTAGAATTTCTAAAGAAATTGATCGAACTTTTTACGCATCTTGCATTTGAGCACTAACAAATAGATGTATTGTATGTAGTATTTCAGGCTTTCCTTTTTCTTTGAATTCGCCGTGAATGTGGATATTATTATGAAAATAGATCAAAGAGTTGGTGTTAGATGTTCCTTCTCTTATTGAAATGGCTCATAACTTCCGTCATTTAGCGTTCTGATTGATTTCGGACCCGACTTCTGCCATACTCATCTGAAAAACTGTTTCAATTATATATAGACATGTTTTGAGACAACGCATTTGTTTCTAACAATCAACTTGAACATAGAAAGGCACTTGCCATATTTTCTGGTAATACTGATTGAGGTCTTGGATTTATGTCAGTCCTGTACTAGTATCATTTTCTGCGATACAAAGTATCGGAGCTGATAGCAACCAGCTTTAAATGGGTTTGAAATGGTGTTTATAACCGAACTCAACTCAGTAAAGCTGATTGAATAGAAATAGAGCACACGAATTCTTACAAACCATCATAGAAAGAGTGATAGAAGAACAGGAGCTCTGGCAATGCATTGATCTACTCGGGTCAACCGAAAAGATGAGACTCATTTCCTGCTTGTGGTCGGGAATTTGCAAATCACTCAGCATTTCTGAATATGCACTTATTACATCTTGACACATATTTCAAGCCTTCCTTGAGGTCTTTTATGGCATCTCTCACGTTAGACGTCGATTTCGGTTTTTTTTTTTATTGGGTCTTCTCGTAAATTTCGGTACTAGGGAATGAACACCTAATTTATCAACCAGAAATGATTAAAATTGCTTAACATTACTATTCGAAGTGTGCGCCATCAACCTAAATAGATTACTGCCATTTCTAGGCAATCAGTACCGCATTGTACAGAATTTTCTGGGCTCCCTTTTGGTACCACATTGTCCATACTTGCAGCACTACGGTCTTTAACAACGACGTCTTTATCGAAATTTGCTGCTTTACGAGCACGAACTGGGACGCTATGCACAGGCCTCCTTCAGTGAAAGGCTCAAGGATCCGTGTCTATGAACAGCGTTTCGGTTCTTTGCTGAGTTTCGCGCCGGTAACACCTACTTAAAGGACTTGCTGCGCTCCGGTTGTTCACGTGAAGATGATCAAGAGGCCGTCATTGAAGCAGTTGAAGGGTATCCGACTTTGACTATCGAGGAGTTGGCAGATATGTGTTCAAGCTGATGGCGCATGATTTGATTAGTCTTTTCAAGCTATATGAATTTCGCTCACCAATTCGCTTGAGTATATATGAAACATCATAACACTGCGAAGCACTAAAAATACTAGAATTCTCGAGTATCATATCTAACAAAGGCTATAGGCTCAACTGAGTTCATGAACCCAAATCGTATACCCGACCAAACCTGTTAAGGGTTGGTGGCTGACAGTTAGGATAGAGGTGCTGAAGAATGTGTGGTGGCGCAAATGTGCCTCTGTGGTTTAGTGTTAGCACGCGGCCCCGGTATAGATGAAACGCGGGTTCGACTCCCGCCTGAGGACGTATTTTTGCTCACCACTCAATTCGCTTAGGTATATATGGAACGTTTTCAATTACTTCTGGCTATTAATTTTGGTGTTTATTGCTCTAGTACCTCAACATATAAAAAGAACCGATAGCAAGCTTCATCAGTTGCACGTGCCTTTCGGTTCAGCCAATCCTTTATATATAAGGAAATCCATGCCGAACATCTTACACTACGCGCTCGATGAAAGGCAAAAAAATTGTGATAAGCGAAAGGCGCGTATTACTGATGAGGCTTGCTAGAATAAGCCGTAACGTAAGTCTAGCAATAGAGGCGCTGATGACAGATCTCATTAAAGGGTAGAGTTAAGTTTTCAAATTGCATTGTTACAAGCAAGGTTTGAAAAACAGTTGATAAGAAGGATATTACAATATACCTTTAATTAACCATCGAGCAATCGACTGTCACTGCAATGTCAGGCGATCTTTCAGTCGGGTGTGCAGTGTTGTTCGGCGTCAATTCCTCCATAAATAGGGGATACGCTCAACAAAAACCATGTGCTACTCATTGGCTTCCTAGAATGAGTCGAAACATACGTCTAACATTAGAGGTGCCATAACAGACCTCATGGAAAGCTTGAAATAGTTTAGCAGATTGTAATGTTTTAAGCGAGGTCTATAGCAATGAAGGTTAGTGAAGAGTTTGTGTAGTCTGAGTTAATTTGGCCACGAGGGACTTTTATTAGTTGCTTCTGTATGGAAGTCCTGCATTTTGATAATCGTTTATTGGTAAAACAATAGTACAATACTAGCAGTTCAGGAATATACAGGAAGATCACAGAGAATATGCAACGGAATAGTGGTTGAGATTACTATTAAGCCGAAGAGGAAGGCGAAGTCCAGGCTAAACATCCTATCCTTTTTCTTAGAGATCAACCCGATTTCTCACCGTCACGAGTGTGGTTATGCACTTATGGCAAAACTTATGTAAAGTGCATCGAAAGTTTAACCGTCTTTCAAGGTACAAACGCTAAGTTTACGAAATTAGAATGTATGAGCTGAGTGTGATAAATCGGTGATTCATTGATGATTTACACCAGAGAAAGGGTGGACAGTAATCGTTATATTATGGAGAATGTTATCTATAAGGTCTCAAAAACAGTCGATCAGAAAGGTATTACATATAGTTCTTTACACTTTTGTAAGTGGTGAGATAAAAAACTATAAGACTTCAAGCGTAACATTTTTATTTTATTGCTACAACTCGTTATCGCAATTTACTATGCGTATCTCAGCACCTCTTGCATTCTATTGAGAATCTTCTCTTAACGACAAAGTTCTTCGTTCTCACGTCGAAGCTTCCCGTCCTTATCATAGTGTCCGCAATAATTCCTTTCAAGTTCTGATGTGAGCGAGCATTGACGCTCATTTTGCCGAGCTCGTTCTCCAGGCGCATATTTTTACCTTTTCCTGAAATATTTCATATCACAAGTACAAGCTGCTCTTAAGAACTTTTACTAAAGACGATTCAAAGAATCGATTCCAGCTAAGCCACTAATGAAGAACAGTCTTTCGAACTGCCCTTTTTCATACAAAACTTGCGCGAGGTTGATATGTCTTCTTCCCAGCAATGGCCAATGTTTCAGCGATTTCCCGCCATTAAAGCCGTTACCTGTCTGGAAGAGCTCAGCGGTGTTTTGTCAATCACTATGAGTGGATTATAACTTATAGCCTGTGACAATCTCAAAAACAATGAAAGTGGAGAGTAGTCAGAAGGACGGTGTTAAGAGTGCCCAAGAAACACATATGTGAAAGATGAAATTGAAAATTTCGATATATATCTACAACAAAAGAACGAAAAGCACGTAAAAATGCTAAGAACAAATGGACAAGAGAATTGATGTAACGGAAGCGAATGGTTCTAAATGTTTTTCCTGATTTTTTCGCAGTGTTATGATATTTCAAACATACTTAAGAGGAGTGAGTGGTAGGCAGGAAATTTATCGCAAACGGGAGCTGAACTCGCGTTTCACCCATACAGGGACGGCGTAGTGAAGTACCGCGGTATGAGTGAAACGCGGGTTCAACTCTTGTCTGGTCGAAATTTTGCCCACCATTCAATTTCCGTAGGTATATTCAAAGTAACATCTTCTTAGCCATTTCCCGTCTTCTATGTACAAGTCATTGAAACAGGAAACCTTTTTGGCACTAGGTTCAAGGCGCATAGTGGGCTGTACAAAATTTTAAAAGATTCTTCCCCATTACAAGGCGGCAAAAGAAAAGCCGATTTCATTCGCTGGACAAGAAGCGTTTATAGGAGTGTTAGCAACCACTCGGAAACTTAAATCTCAAGCTATAGCGCCAAGTAGCCGGCTTTCGAGAAGCCTCTTTTATGACGTTGCAAAATTCAAAATAAAATTCTGTTTATCACGCGCATATTTCCCGCCGGACAGAGCTCTTTTTTCGAATTAGTAATCATTTAGTAGCATAAGGTTTGCTGATTCCAGCACTGTGCTTATTTCTAGAGAGGCTATCTTTCTACAGTGCAGCAGGAAAAATAAGATGAGATCACATATGCGAGCGAATGGTCTTTGGCCAATTCATGAGCCGCTGGGCGAGAGAAAGGTAGGCTGACGTGATAACTGATAGATTCCCCATAGTCGACTTTTATGGAAGCGCGATCTTTGTTATTTATTTAGGAATTGTTTTTCCATTTTGAAAGGAAGGCTTCAGATATACCGTATGTCTCTGCTATCAAACGACTCTAAATACTTTTATTTTGCCGTGAGTACGGAAAAATCAATCATCATTATGAACAGTTTGATGGAATTCAGGAGGTCAAAACGTCCTAATTGCCTCGAACAGTGACTCGAAGACATACAAATGCCACGAGATATTCTCTACACGTTCGTATGCCCAAAAATCGATCGACCATTGCGTAAACCTTCCTTTTCACCTTAGCCAGCGGCCTGTGAATTGGCGAAAGCCCACTTGTTCGCGTATGCGAATTCAACTTATTTTTCCTGTTGGACTGCACTGAAACAATCTTTTTAGAAAGTAAGCACAGCGTCGGTGTGAGCAAACATTACGCTATGGCTTAATTATAAATATTTCAAAGAAATTGCTGTCTTGCGAGAAAAATGCGTGCGTGGAACGCAAGGGTTTTCCTATTGTAATCACGTCAAAGAAGAACGTTTCCGAAAACCGGCTACAAGGGGTAAAAGCCAGGGATTTGAGCTTTCGAATGATTCCCAAGACCTACTGTCTATTAACCTCGGTATGCTTCAATATAATTCCTAATAAATTTCATCCAGTGGGACACATATAAAAAGCGGTGAGTATGTTGAGAGTTGATTTTGTGCTTGATGCGATTGAAATCTAGGTTTGGTGATTTTTTCTAGAGGAGTAATGGAAGTGTTTGACTGATTGGATTGCGGACAACTTGACCTTTCCAAGCTTCGACGAAAGCGACCTGCCAAAACGTCAGCTGTCAAATAAAGACTAATGTGACACCTTGTGTTTGGCTTAAAGAAGAAAATCAGGGATTATTTCGAATGATTACTAATACTCACATGGGAATTATTTGTCCAGCAATTGGGATAGGTTTTTCATTTGTCGGCTTTTAATGGAGAGGTAACGTATGAAATATACTATATCTCATTTCTTGGACCATTCCATCCTTTTCTAAGCATGATTCAGATTACAGCGGAAAAGCTAATTCCTTAAAATTTTACAGCAATGCAGTTTTATTTACTTACAGCTAATAAATTTCGTGTTTATTGCTCTAGTGCCAAAACTTATGGAAGGACCTAATACCGATCGAAGGAAAACTAAGTAAATTTTTGTAGCATCAAAGATAGGAGCGCATACGATACATGAGAAGCTACATTTTATACAAATCTCATTCTCACATCGCACATGCTATATAAATTCCAGGATATTTCTCACACCGAAAAGGCAATATGACTCATAGAAGGAAAATCGTAAATTTACCAGCATACAACAGCCGAAACATCAGCAGTAAAACAAAACTGTGTAATCAGAACCTCGCGTTTGGCTTACAAAGAAAACTGGTACCCTCGCAGAACGTTGAGGTCAATAAAGAGTCGACTTTAAGAGTTATTGCTTAATTCGAAAATAATCCATGAATCAAAAGTTAAGTATTTAATAAAAATCTCAACCTCTTCTTCGATGTATTTCTCGAAGTAATCTTCATTCATTATGACCTCCGCGGCTATTTCAGGCTCAGAAACGCCAATATCGTCGACGTTTTCGAGTTCATAATCTGAAATAACCAAGGTAGCATCAAAATAACAAGTCAGCTATGATACTATATGAACAATCAACTGCAGCATATATATTTAATCAACAAGATTTTTTTTTATTTCACTGCTTTTAGCAGTTGCATGATGTTGCATATATGTGTATTTGTATGTACACATACAATATATTTTTTTATTTATTATATTATAGAAATTGTTTTACCTATAATTCGTGTGCGATGTAGATTTTCGGTCGTCCTCGTTTCATAATGCGTAGTCGTTCTTGCGACAGAATCTTTGAATGAGTGTACCAGTTTTGCTGATACAGCTTGTAGTCGCGGATGCGGGCATAGGACGAAATCAGCGGATGCATTATCTGGAAACAGATGATTACTTCAGCACTTGCACGAAGATTGTGTACGGATTAGGAAGACGACGACCGAAAATCTATATTGCACACGAATTATATGTGAAAAAATCTTTGCCAAAAGCACCGAATATCGTCATTATACAGTATAAGCATCGCATGCGTAATATCTATTACTGCTCTTACAATAGAAACTTCTAGCGAATCAGTAATATTCATGCAACAAAACTCTAAGCACGGTATATTTGATAGACAAAAAGTGCGGTTTATGAGCATTCAAGGACTCATTTTGAAAAAGAAAAGAACAAAAATTTGTATCTTCAGACGACGTGGTAAGAAAGCACTGACATCAAACAAAAAAAGGTAAGACTTGCAGTAAGCTGGCAACAAAAGTGAGGCAGTCGCTGAAC